TGTTCTCTGGTGAAATGCCTGTCATCTCCCCGCAGGGCGACGTGGGGCCTGCAGGACCGCCTGGCGTCCCGGGCTCCGTGGTAAGTGGGACCGTCCCTGGCGGCTGGAATGCCGGGCGCCCGGGCTGATAGAGTCCAGTCCCTGAGAGAGTCCCTGCTCCTCGGAGGCAGAGCTCGGTGAAGGCGGAAGCGGCACATGACGCTTTCCGCACTAAAATGGGTAAAATCCAGGGAAAGTCAGGAATTGCTGCATACGGCCTGCCCTGCCCTGCGAATGCCCCGAGTGGAGCCAGAGCTCGACTTGAGAACTCGCTGCCGCCTTTGCTGATGCCTGTTTGTCCCCTCAGGTGCAGAGAGAGGGCCTGAAGGGCGAGCAGGTAAGCGGACCTGGGTCCTCCGTGTGGAGCTGCAGGTGGGGAAGGTGGAGGAGGTGGGTCCTCCGTGTGGGGCTGCAGGTGGGGAAGGTGTGGGTCCTCCGTGTGGGGCTGCAGGTGGGGAAGGTGGCAGGGGTGGGTCCTCCGTGTGGGGCTGCAGGTGGGAGCAGGTGGAGCAGGTGGAGGAGGTGGGTCCTCCGTGTGGGGCTGCAGGCGGGAGCAGAGACAGAAAGGCACAGCCGTGGGGTGAAACTTCCTGCTGGGAATGCAGACGCCACCCTGGACTGGGTTCCTGCTGGGAACTTGGGAGGTGAGCTCTGAGCCAGCCGAGGGGAACTGTGGCTAAGGCGTGTTTGCTTGGGTTACAGGGAGCTCCAGGACCACGCGGTCACCAGGGCCCCCCTGGGCCTCCCGGAGCCCCGGTAAGTCACCGTCCCAACCCAGGTCTGCTCTGCACACAGTAGGTCTGGAAAGCAGCAGGCCTATTATTCCCGAAGCTCAGGCATCGCCCAGGAGGACACTGCGCCTGCCCACAGGTGATGCAGGTCCCAGGTGTCTGCAGCCCGGCCGCCTGCCTCCAGAGCCCCTGTCCCTGACAGGCCACGCCTGGGGTTCTGGGGTTCGCTCTGGTATTACGTTCCCTTCAGATAACAGGGAATGGAAGTACTGGGCGCGTCCTGCTGGTAGAACCACGTCCAGTGCACACGGGCTCCTCCCGGGTGCTGATGGACGCGACGTCGCCGTGGCGGGGAAGGCCCAGCCTCGGTCCTCCCTCTGTTGGGAATGTGATGTGTGAATAACCATCCGGGAGGGCCGTTCGCAGGGACTCAGCGGCCGCGGTGCGCTGAGGGCAGATGCTCGGATGACTGATGAGAACACGCGATGCCACGCTGGCGACTTCGTGCCCCTGGGCGCGTGCGCATCCTTCTAGGGACGGGGTTTTATTGCAGGAGATGGACAGTTGTCACTCTCCTGTCACACGGCCGAGGCCCCTTCCTCTAGGACAGATGTGCGTGGCTTTGCCGCATGAAACTAGGAGCAGCAGCGTAACCATTTCATGCCAAGAGTCCAGGTCGGAGAGCTCCCTCCCGGGGCCGTCCCCTTAGGCGTCTTGTTCAACCTCCGCCACTGCTGTCACTGCTGTGAGACTTAACGCAGGACACGCGGTATCTGCTCAGTGGTTAGCTCTGTGCACGTGTGTTTCAGACCCATAACTGGCCGGCGTCGAATGTCCACACTGTAGCATGTTGTTATATGCAGACACACCTTGCATGTATGACGCCTGCCCGGGTGAAGGTGTTTTTCTCTTCCTTCACAATGAAGATGTTGTGCGCAAATACGGAGTGGCCGGCCCGGAGTCGCACAGCTATTAAGCAGCAGCGCTGAGAGCTTTGAACCCAGACCCGTCCGTCACGCCCACTCCCTTTTCACCCGGGTGCTCAGCGCGCCGGCACCTCCCCGAGCTGCTGCAGGATCATTGCTTCCCTCCCTGGCTCCCTCGGAGGAGTGAGAAGCTAGGAACGCGTAGCCCGGCTTCATCAGGAGGCAGCCTTCTTCACCCCTCACTCTGCGACCGGGGGTAGCACAACAGGTGGTCCCCCATTACCCTGTGTGCAGATTTTGTGACGATAAATGAGGGAGGGAGCAGAGGAAGAAATGTCACCTTGTGGCCACCTACTTCCTATGGAGCAGAGTGAAGCTGGGGATGCAGGGATGAAAAGTCACGCCCGATCTCATCGTGGAATGAAGGAGAGGCGAAGAAGTGACTGCGAGCGCACCCTGCAGTCTCTGCTGCATCAACCCTACAGGCCCGGGTGTAGAGAGCAGGGACTGAGGGTCCTGGCCCTGGTGCTTCAGGCCACTGGACCTCACAGGGACCCCGCCCCCGTGGAGCTGTCCAGGGTCCTGAAGAGTCCTCCAGGCTCCATGCTGGTGATAGAAGGGGTTCAGTGTAACACATGGGGTCTGGACAGGATTCCAACCAGGCTACTGTGACCTCTTCCTACACCGATGCTCCTTGCTTACTTGAAATCATCTTTCATGCCCAGTTTCATTTGCACAGACTGCCCTGTATTGCATGTCACTGTTGACTGGGAGGCAGACACCCCCAGCCAGTCCTTCTGGGCC